TTTTCCAGCAAGGCTTTAATGTACTTACCATAGTTGTTCTAAGTTCTCTGATAGTTTGAGCATCTGAATGAGCTCTGATTTTTATAGACTGTTCTACTCATTGATTTTTCTCTTGGCAGTGTCTTTTTTTTTTTTTTTTAAGCTTTCTTTTTTTAGATTTTACTCATACTTTTGGATTTAATGCAAGGCATTGTGTGTAGGGCAGTAAAGCTTGAGGCCTGGAAATGAACATCCATCCCTCTTCTGGTGTTGAGCTAACTTTGGATTTGTTACTGGTGTGATTGTCTCTTTAGTGTAGCAGCAATTTATTTTCTTTCTTTCTTTCTTTCTTTCTTTCTTTCTTTCTTTCTTTCTTTCTTTCTTTCTTTCCTTCCTTCCTTCCTTCCTTCCTTCCTTCCTTCCTTCCTTCCTTCCTTCCTTCTTTCCTTCTTTCCTTCTTTCCTTCTTTCCTTCTTTCCTTCTTTCCTTCTTTCCTTCTTTCCTTCTTTCCTTCTTTCCTTCTTTCCTTCTTTCCTTCTTTCTTAGCTTCCATCTGCTGGTTCGTTCCCTGCATGGCCACCGAAGCCAGGAGCTTCTTCCAAGTCTCGCTAGTGAGTGGTAGGGGCCCCAGGAGCTTTTCTTAAAGATTTATTTATTTATTTTGAAAGAGTTGGAGAGAGGGAGATACAGATCTTTGATCCACTGGTTCACTCCCTACATGGCGTAAAAAGACTGGAACTGCACCAGGTTGAAGCCAGGAACCATGAGCTACATCCTGGTCTCACATGTGAATCGCAAAACCCTAAACACCATTAACAGGGAGCTGGATCAGAATTGGAGTGGTCTGGACTCCGACTATTGGTTGTCCATATGGGATGCTGGTGTCACTGGTGGCAGTTGACCCAGTTCACCCTCATGCCAGTGCTCACTTGATCTGTCTTCGGCTGCTTTTCCTAGGCCCTTTGCAGTGAGCTGGGTCAGAAGTAGAGCAGCTGATAACATGAACTGGCATCCATATGAGATGCTGGCATCAAAGGTGGCAGCTGTATCTGCTGCGCCACAACACTAGTCATGCGTCAGTGGTTTCAAATTCTCCGATGTCACCTTGTTTTTAGGTTTGTTGAAAGATTTTGTTTCAGTGTTCCTGTGATCTTGTGCTTCAGACAGGGTCTCTTTCCGTGTTCTCATCTGCTTTCCAAATGTAGGCCACTGTGGCTTCATTACTCAGTCTGCCTAGCCTGGTTGAGGGGAAGGTGGGGGAAGAGGGGATTTAGGGTTTTTTGTGGTCAGTGCTTGGTTGCCATTTATAATCTCTGGCTCATTTTCAAAGTTTCCTTCTGTTCTAATTGTCTTTTTTTTTTTTTTTTTTGGTGATGGCTCTGTTTTCTGGTAAGTATATTGGAGTATTTGCAAGACTAAGTCTGCTTTTTCTGTTTTTTATAGGTCTTATTTCCTCACACAGTGAGATTTTGTTGTAGTTGGGATTTTTCTATGTGAGTTTATATGCTGTGGAACTTCAGTATAGTTTTAGATTTTGAGTTAGTTTTATTCTTGTAAAGTTTTACATTGTTTCTGCCTGTGTTTGTTGTATGTTATCAGTATTGAGCAATGCTTAAATTTAGGTATGTGCTTAAGGTGTTACCAGTTGAAACTACAGATATTTGTGAGGATGACTGGTGGATTCCAATTCTTCAGGGAAATTTGTTTTGTTTGGTTACTTTGTTATACTGTGTCCACCTCCCCCGCCCCCTTCCGTTCATTCGCCCTTTTAATGAGAGTGTAACTGCTTGGGATGAGCTTATAAAGAGTAGGTTTGCTCTTGTATTCTCTAACTGTGGTAGGTTTTCTGTGTTCTCTCACCTCCTTTATAAACATCCAAATGGAAGGTCCAAGGTCTAGAGTTGGGCAGAAACAGTCCAGCTGGTGAGGGGCTTTGGTGTTAGTCTTCATCTAAGTGTTCTTTCTGGCTTTGGGATTCCTTCCTTTTGTGCTATTTTGGTTATGCATTTGCCAGTTTTTTTAAATTCTGCATTTTGATGTACCATTTGATGTTTTCAATACAACATATAAACATTTGAAGTTTTAAATACTTTAGTTATATTTAGTTGTAATTTTAAGTGGATTTAATCTTTTATATTGTAGAATTGAAAGTTAGAGATTTTTTTCCTTGCATTTGATATTTTCCCCAATATTTTGAAATGCAAAAGGTGCTTCCCTAAATTTAGTTTCCATTTCTGCTTAAAAAGTCTTCATGATTTAAATTTTTGATTTTGCTCTATGAGTGGTAGATATTTAAAGATCTAAGAATCATATAATAATGAACTTTGACCTGAAATAGAGAATCTGGTCTCTCTTGGGAATAGGGTGACATGTCATCTCTTATATGTGAATTACTTAACATTTATGAGATTCTATGCTGTCTATTACAATAAGAAGAGTACCTGTGTAATAGAGTTTTTTCTGAGCCTTGAGTGTGGTGTCATAATTTCTAGTGCAAGGCCTAATGGACTGATTGAATGAATGTTCCAGTGTTTTTTTACCTCTTATGGAGGTAGCAAATACTAGCTACCCATACAGAATTCTTTTGTCCTTGAGCCAAAAATCAATCCCTTGTCTCCTGTGGGGTTTTCCTTCTAGTAAACTAATATGTAATGCCTGATTATGCCTGCCTGTGTATTTCTTGGGACCTTATGCATAGGCCCAAGGACCTAACATATTTGAGAAAAAAAGGAGAATTTAATGCCCATTTTGGCAACCCTCTTGGGTGTTAAGTAGACAAAGATTATTGTAATATAAGAGTTCCTGCTTTAGGGAACTTATCTCATTAGTGAGATAGATTTATCAAATAATTGTGTTCGGTATATTTAGTGCTGTAAAAGAATTAACACCTCCCTGGAGAACAAGAGGTACATTTAGGGGAACAATGTGTTGGCAGCCAAGGATAAGAGGAATGTCTTCTGTCATTATGGAAGAGATGGGCAGTTGAAACGTCGATGTCATGTGAAGCTAGAATCGATAGGATGATACATATTGAGGAAGTAACCCAAGTTAATTAAGCTACTTGTGTAGCAGAGTTATTATTATATAGGAGTATAAGGTCATGAATAGTCACTTTGACCTGGCTGCTGCATATCCTTGAACTCTCACATCTGAAAGAGAACAGATTACATGGTCAAGTATTTCTGAAAATTCACTATAAAATATTGCATATCTCATTAAAGCTTTTATGTGAGTTTCTGTTGGGAGGAAGATGAGTAAACAGCATTTGCAGATTCACTGTAAGTGGCTTTGACATCAAATGTAACAAATCAAAATGTATTTGGTAAACAGCAGTAGTCCATCGGAGCATTTTAAATAGCAGACCTGACATGAATTTTCTGACTATGCAGGATGGAACTGGAAAATGTGTCTAAAGCAGCAGGGTCACCTGTTCCTGTAGTTCAGGACTGAGGTGATTAAAATCTGAATAAAGTGTGGTGGTAATGGAATGAAAGAACATTAGGAGAGGGATTTTTTTTTTTCCCCCTTTTTCCTTTTTCCTTTTTTCGACAAGGAGAGTGGACAGTGAGAGAGAGACAGAGAGAAAGGTCTTCCTTTTGCCGTTGGTTCACCCTCCAATGGCCGCCGCTGCAGCCGGCGCACCGCGCTGATCCTGGCAGGAGCCATGAGCCAGGTGCTTTTCCTGGTCTCCCATGGGGTGCAGGGCCCAAGCACCTGGGCCATCCTCCACTGCACTCCCTGGCCATAGCAGAGAGCTGGCCTGGAAGAGGGGCAACCGGGACAGAATCCGGTGCCCCAACCGGGACTAGAACCCGGTGTGCCGGCGCCGCAAGGTGGAGGATTAGCCTATTGAGCCACGGCGCCGGCTAGGAGAGGGATTTATTAAAAAAAGAAGAACTGATAGTTTGAGACATGATTAAACCTAAGATTTGGAAGCCAAGCACGGGAGCTGGGAATGTTGATTAGATTATATGTTTGGTTGCTTTTCAGTTTTGAAAGTGCAAGAAGCCTATTAGTTAAGATAAATAGGGGAAAACTGAGATCATTATTGATTGAAAGTGAGGTTAATTATACGCTATATTTTAGAGCATATCAATATACTTTGTAAAAAGTAAGTTCACTGTGTTATTTATTTGACAGAATTATAGACAGAGAGAAAGGTCTTCCTTCCGTTGGTTCACTCCCCAAATGGCCACTACGGCCAGCGCTGTGCTGATCCAAAGCCAGGAGCCAGGCGCTTCTTCCTGGTCTCCCATGTGGCTGCAAGGCCCAAGCACCTGGGCCATCCTCCACTGCCTTCCCGGGCCACAGCAGAGAGCTGGACTGGAAGAGGAGTAACCAGGACTAGAACCCGGCACCCATATGGGATGCCGGCGCTGCAGGCGGAGGATTCAAGTGAGCCACGGCGCCGGCCCCAACACTGCGTTCTTCTGTCAGCAACAGAAGCTTTGGAGATTGACCTATATACGTGTGCACGTGGCTGGAACGTTTTAAGCCCTCAGTACATGTTAGCTTGCTTTTTCTTTTGTTTTCTTTCCTGAAAGACGCCAGCCTGCCTTTTGGTATTGTCTTACATTAAGATGAACCTGAAAGAATGTTACATTAAGTTTTTGTTGTTTTTTAGCAGTTCATTGAAGTCATAAGCAAGATGGTTTGCTAAGTAAAATAAGTCTGTAAGCAGACAGTTTGTAATAAGACTAACTCAGAAGTTATAATTACTGAATGTTTAGGTGTAGTTAACAACCTTCATTTCTGGTAAGTGACTTGACTTAGAGGATATATGCTTAGGTGTGCACAACAGGGACCGTTCCTGGAAGGAAGCTGTGGTCTCTACATCTCTATAATAACATCACCTTTACTTTTGTAAACTGATGAGTGCCGTCCTTAATGTGGTCTGTTTGGTGACACAGTTTCTTGCAAGAAATAAAGGAAGCTTCCTTATGAGCTTATTACGACTCCATAGACTGTCATTAGTGTGGAAAAATTGGATGTTTAATGAAGAATGTGAATATGTATTACAGGTAGAGAATTCTAAAGACAATGAAGATAGTTTTCTACAAAGAGAAATTCCTGCCCGACAGTCTCGAAGAAGGTTTCGGAAAATTAACTACAAGGGAGAGCGCCAAACCATTACTGACAATGTGGACATTAATAGCTATCTTTCTGTGAGTATGTTTAGAACATTTTGTGAGTCTTCATTTTCATGTGTAGTATCTTTAATTTACGTATATTTTTGAAGATCTCAACACTTAGGTTCTTCATATGGAAGTTTGGGGCAAATAATACATTTATAATTTTTTTAAAGACTTATTTATTTGAAAGAGTTACACAGAGAGAGGAGGAGAGGGAGAGAGAGAGAGGTCTTCCATCCACTGGTTCACTCCTCATTGGGCCACAATGGCTGGAGCTGTGCCAATCCCAAGCTGGGAGCTTCCTCTGGGTCTCCCAAATGGGTGCAGGGGCCCAAGCGCTTGGGCCATCCACTACTGCCTTCCCAGGCCATAGCAAAAAGCTGGATCAGCCAAGACCTGAACCCACGCCTATTTGGGATGCTGGCACTGCAGGCAGCGGCTTTACCCCCTACACCATAGTGCCGTCCCTACATTTATAAGTTTTAAAAAGCCTTTTGCTTGATTGGGTTGTTAGGAATATGCTTAGCATTGGAAGTTTCATTTTTGCTTCTTTGATGAATAATGTAACAAAAAATGTTTTACCCTATCTTTGTAGAAATACTTGTGGATTTTCGTTATTGGATTGGGGTATAGATTGGAGTCCTGAGAGTTCAGGTAGTAGACTCACTGGGAGTTTTAGGGTTTTTGTTTTTTGTTTTCAACTGATATGCTCTAAGGCATAACAAATGAAGTATTATGGAAATTCTTCCTTTGAAATGTGAGGCAAATGCATGCAATACATCTTAGTGCAGGAAAATATGGAGATGTTAAAGGTTTGTTTACCCATGCAGTTACTTAAAAATAGAGTAGTAACTTTGATAATAAGAGAAGAAATACTGTTTCTTCGGAATTCTTTACTGAAAAATAAATCAGTCAAGATATAAGGAAAAACCAAAAATAAATTTATGTGTATGTTTGAGGTGAGAGGTTTCATAATTAGTTTTCAGGGAGTCATGATCCTCAAGAAGTGTCTGAAGCTTTTTCTCCTGTTGATGTGTGTTTAAATAATACTTGAAAGCTAGAACGATAGCTGATGGCAGCACAGTTCTCAAGGGAATGTTCTTCAGGTCGTTGGAAAGACATTCGTTTCATTTTAGGAGTAAGAAGCAGGGATCTCTACTGGAGTCAGTATTAGGTTTAAGGCAGCTGTAAGCTTTTGTACCATTGCGTAATAAGCAGACTTTGCTGACTTTATTTCACAGTGTGTGTTTATTTTTTGAAAGATTAAGAATTTATTGTTCCTACCACCTAGTTATGTAACCACTGATGACTTTTCATATATTCTTAGATAAAACTTTTCAGTATGTAGATAGTTAAGACTTTTTTGAAACCCTGGCCTTGAAAAACTTAAATATATTTTGTAATTTTTTGAAACTTAATCCAAATTGAGTATCTTTGCTGATAATTATTAAAATTTAACACTCTTTTTAGTGGTTACATAGTATTGCATTATAATAACGTGTAATTCATTTTCCAGTATTTGGTCATTGATTATTGATAATTTCTAGTTTTTCATTGTTTATTTAAAAAAAGAGATGCTGAGTATCATTGTGATTATATAGGCCTACATCTTTATTTCTTTAGAAAAAAATCTCAAAAGGTAGGATTGCTAAATTAGTGTCTTTATATTATTTGGTAATTCTTGTGTGAGCTAAAGAGTGCATGTTGTGTGCATGTGTTTTGATTTATTTTTCTGGTCTCAACTATAGGTGTGTTGTTTTTCCAGATACTTTCGGAGTTTTGTCATGAAACTCGGCAAATCTTTATTTTCTCTTTGTAGCTGTGACTTGTGCTTATGAGTCATTTGCTTTTTAACTATCTTGTGTGCTGAAGATTGTCTTCTCAGGAAGGGATATTCTGGTTTTCTGAGTGGATCAGAAAGAGCAGTGGGCACCGTGCTAGGGATTCTGTTTGGTGATAATTCCTATGGAAAGTGGCATTTTGCATGTAAAAGGTTTGTATAGCTAGTGTCAGGTCATTATCCTGTTAAGTACTGACATGAAGGGGAGTAGTAAGTTGATTCAATTTAGACAAAACTGATTTATTAACTATTAGGCTGTGTTTGTGATGAGTTTTTGGTCGTTATTTCGCGTTCATGAGTTAATAGGATTTTATTTTCCCTTTAAAAAGTGTATATTTCAGGTAACTTTGAAGATGCAGGATTGATCCGCCTGTGGTGCCCGTACCCTGGGTTCTAGTCCCTGTTGGGGCACCGGGTTCTGTTCCTGGTTGCTGCTCTTCCAGTCCAGCTCTCTGCTGTAGCCCAGGAGGGCAGTGGAGGATGGACCTGCGTGGGAGACCTGGGGCAGGGTGGGGGCTGGCTCCTGGCTTCTGATTGGCGCAGTGCGCTGGCTGCAGCATGCTGGCCATGGCAGCCATTTCGGGGGTAAACCAGTGGAAGTAAGACCTTTCTCTCTGTCTCTCTCTCTCACTGTCTAACTCTGCCTGTCAAAAAAAAGAAAATGCAGGATTGAGAGGTTTTTATTTACTTCTAATTAAATCCACTAGTTATGTAAACTCTGTGCACCTGGTCAAAGTCCTGCATACAACAACAGTGCATGGATTTCAAATTTTTTTGCACCAAAATAAACTTAATTCTCGTTTTTCACAAACATATTGAAGACCCTTCTACTTGGAAGATGGGAACACAGTTACAGTCTAACTAGTCAGTAATATCTGTAGATTGTTCCTCTCAGATGTTTCAGAATTTATGTCTTCCCCTCAGTTTGCCATGTCATTGCCTTAGTGCTCTTGTTTTTCTTTAAGGGCTATTATTCAAGCCCTTGGATCCTTACTTGCCACGTAGGAGACCGGGATGGAGTTCCAGTCCTGGCTTTGGTGTGGGCCAGCCATGCTTACTGCATACATGTAGAGAGTAAGCAGAAAGAAGCTCTCTCTCTGTCTCTGCTTTTTAAATAAAATAAAAATAAGCAAATTTTAAAAATATTTTTTAATTTAAAAAATGCATCTTACTCTTTTTAAACACATTGTGAATCCAATCAAAACATGGTACACTGTAAGAGCTTGGGGGAAAAAAGATGTAATCACACAAGTAGGAAATGAGAAAAAGCTTCTTGCTATGTTAGCGATGTGTGAGCCTAAAATCAAAGAGGAAGATTCCAGAGTGTCATAGTGTCACCGCCACCCACTAAACAATCGCAGAATAAACAGTTGGGTAGAAAGAAAATAGGTAAGGAAGTCCGAGCAGAAGGAAACTTCACCTTTAAAACCCGTGTTCCATGATGCTGTCATGGAAATCCCTCTCTCCACGTGTTTGCTTGGGAAGTGCTGGCTTACTCTAGGTATGTGCAGGCCCTCTGGTGGAGAAGCAGAGAAGAGACTGTCAACAGCTTAATGTCAGAGGAGGTACAAAGCAACATAGAAAACAAGTAAGAAAACCTGTGATTTGGCAGGCGCCGTGGCTCACTAGGCTAATCCTCTGCCTGCGGCGCTGGTACTCTGGGTTCTAGTCCCGGGTGGGGCGCCGGATTCTGTCCCTGTTGCTTCTCTTGCAGGCCAGCTCTCTGCTATCGCCTGGGAGTGCAGTGGAGGATGGCCCAAGTGCAAAAAATGCATTAGCTGATAGAAAAAATACACTCTTACTCTTTGATAGAATGTGCCTAAAGTTTATAACAATGATGGTACAGATTTTTAAGACATGCACATTCTGACAAAAAAGACATCTGAACAAATTACTGCCATGTGACGTAATGAGTAGCTACAGTTACGTGCATGTTTATTATGAGAACATAGATCTGTACCTAAACCTTCCAAAGAAAAATGATTAAGTTCTGCCACGAGGTAAGGTGGAGTCGTGTGTTGAGGATGAGAAGCTTCTGCTGAGCTAGAGAACAAAAGAAAATTTGGGGGTACAAGGAACAAGTTACATAGGGGTGCATACAAAGATACAGTTGCTTCAAAGGTCAGTGAATTTTTTCAGAATGGCTGAAAGGATGGAAATTCATAGAAAAAGTGGGAAAAAAGTTGGAGAGGTAGACAAAGTCAACACTTGTGTAGTTGGATATGGTGGATACTGACCGCATGTAATTATTTATTTGTTAGTTGTTAAGAATTAATTGAAATTTAAATTTTAAATCCTTAGTCACACTAGCCCAGTTTTAAGATATCAATTGCCACATGTGGCTAGTTGTTACCAATCTGCTCCCTCCCAGAGTGCATATTACCAGGAAGCTGCCAGGACTTCAGCAGGCACTCTGTTATGGAATGTGCTTGTCCCAAGCTGGAGACTTAACTGATGTGCCAAATGCTCACCCCAGGCGCACTTTGCAATGTGGCTGATTGAGAGGTGCTTATTAGGATACCAGATAACAAGTTTTTTCCTGGTACACTGAATAATGGCTACATACTACCACTTGGTGTTAAGGTTTCTAGCAATGAGTGTTTTACTTTTGAGTGTGTGGGTGTGTGTTAGTGATAAAGCTATTGATGTAATATGAAACAGCTCCCTGCCCCCAACCTGTTGATGAAAAACTAGAGTACTTTGGTCTGAATATGTAAATACTAAGATTCTTTCATGGAGTACACACCACTGAAGAGACACTTTAAACACTGATTTTTCTGATTGTCGTTAATTGTATTTGGTAAATACTTGAGTGAAATAATGAGTGCATAAGCAGTCTTCTGTCACTTCTAAACTGTGCAAGTTTGCATCTGGAGCCTTTGCTTAAATGTGTAAGACAGTAAATGCTGGTCAGATTGCTACTGTGAAATAATAGGGCCCACGTTGGAGCATCTGCAGCTTGTCTGTATTGCTTCTCATCCTGTTTATAACCCAAAGTGCTCTGCACAGGTACTTTGTTCTTTGTTTTGCTTTCCACCTTCAAAACACAAGAAGGGTTTCCTTTGGTGATGTTCACAAGTTTCTCATTTCTTCTAGCAGAATTCTACTTCTTGTTTGCCTTTTGAGAAATAACATGGAATTCTTGGTAAGAGGTTCTTGTACCTCATTAGAGGGTTGTAAGTCCATAAATAAA